TCTCCATATAGCTAACCAGTAGGGAACGTAGATGTGCCAGCGCCGTCAGAGCCGCCTAAGAGCAACGGCTCAGCCCCAGTCTTCAACGGCCACACTAACCAACAGCCACCACCACCACCTGTAGCTATGCCCCAACCTCCGCAGGACCCAGGTGCTCTTTTCGCCGCGCTCGCTGGCGTTGGTCAGCATAATGGGCAAACTAACCCCCCACCTGCAGCAGCCTCTCCATTTCCTTTTCAGCAGAATATGGTACCGCCCCCACCTCCTGGATTTATGCCTCCGCCACCTACTGGAGTAATTGGGCAGCCTAACATGCCTGTTCCGCCTGCTGGTACGAATGAGATCGTGACTCAGATTTTAAAGGCCATGACTGCTGGCTCTATCCCACCCGATCAGGCAATACAGGCATTGAATACATTGGCTATGGCCCAAAATGGCGGAATGCCTATGCCGCCTCCGGCTGTTGCACAGACATCACAGGTTCAGCCTGCTGTACAGAACGGTAACCAGGGAGACAGATATGATCTGAACGATACTAGAATGCGAGATCGTAGCAGATCGCCTGACTATCAACGTCGACGATCGCCTGTGAGATCTCCACCGAACCCGAATCGGCGGGAGAGTCCAACATATGGTGTGTACGATCCCAATGCAGGTCCTGAAGGCAATGCACAACGCTTTGAGCGAGGTGAGCGCGGTCGTGGTCGTGGTAAACAGCGGGGAGGTCGTAATGATCGTAATGAATATCGCCAGCGTTCTCCGCCGCGGCGGCAACCGAGTCCACCTAGAGCGGCGTATGGCCAGTCAAAGTATATTGAGTGGGACGAAACTCTTCCGCGCGATCACATCAGGGTTCTCAGTCGTACATTATTCGTAGGTGGTGCTGGTGGGACGGAAGGTGAGATCCGAAGCATATTCGCTCGTTTCGGTAGAGTCCAAACATGTATTGTCAATCAGGATAAGCGACATGCCTTCGTCAAGATGTTGACCCGTCCGGATGCTGTTGCTGCCAAACAGGGTATGGACACTCTTCAGGATCCCGCTGCGCAGTCCAAAGCGCGCCAGGTAAGGATGTTGTTCTTTGAGTACCTGCCTCATTTACTAACGATACTAGACGAGATGGGGTGTCGGCTTTGGTCCTCGTGACTGTAGTGATTACACCACGGGAATTAGTGTAGTTCCCATTTCTCGTCTTACCGATGCTGATCGCAAGTGGGCTCTGACCGCTGAGCATGGTGGAACAGGTGGCCGGCCACTAGAAGGAGGCATGGTAATCGAAGAGCCTGACATCGAGATTGGTGCAGGTGTTTCTTCAAAAGGTATGCATACCGATCCCTCCTTCGTCACACGACTAACGAAACATAGCCATTAGCCGACGTGTACCGACTGATGCCCCTCGTGGTGGTCGTGGGGGGTTCGGTAATCGAGGTGACTTCAATGCCCGTGGAGACCATGGCGGACGTGGTAATTTCAACGGACGAAATGACTTCAGTGAACGTGCAGATTTCGGACGCAACGATCTCGCTGGCGGGCGTGGTGGTTTCGACAACAACGGTCCAGCCAAGTTTCGCAAGCAAGATCATCGTGCCGTCAACGACCCACGACACATTTCGCCCCGGCCTGAGCAAGGCGTTGCTGTCCCACCTGCAGTTCCTGGCTTCGGGTTCCAGTTGCCAGGGTTTTCATGACTCCCACAGGGATGACTTGCTTTCAACACAGTGATTGTGCCGGCACTCTGATTTAAATCACTTTTCTGTACACAACTATTTTCCAACCGACTAGCCTGCCAGAGGTGATAGTCTTTCAACACGGGTCTTTCTGGCCTTTGTCCTTTACGAATACGTTGTGAGCATCATCGGAACCGCGGTAAAGCATATCCACGGTGGACCGCTTGCTTTCCTAGTTCAAGAGCATTGCAAGGCGTTGCGGCTGCGATTGCGATTGCGACTACCTGTTTTCCAGTCCAGCACTGGCACACGGTGGGAGCGAAAATATCCCAAAGGTTTCCCAAATCAACCAGCCAAGTGTACCAATACGTTAATTTGCATTCACGCTTCGGCGGTATATCCCTAGTATCTCTGGTATATTCACCCTGGTTACTGGCCTTGTAATGAAAATACGATCTTCTATCTTCGCCCAGTTCTCATCCCGTGCATCTGCATATCACGCTTGTTTGAGTTTGATACTGACACATGACTAACATGCACGTACCCAACAGAGATGTGGCGGCCAGTGAGGAGAATCAAGCACTCTGGCAGGCTACAGGGTTTGACAATTGGTATTGCACGGATCAAGATGTCGAAGGGATAAAATGCATCTTAATAACAAGGCTTCTGATAATAGACATAGTGATAATAGTGATAATTTTCCTTAATGAGTTTCACCAAATCATACGATACTGTATAGCTATTAAGTTTCCTAAACAAGACCTATTGCCTCATGTTTAAGGAGAGCTCTATTTCCTCTTGGTAGCACCGCTCTTCTTCTGGCTACCTGTCGCCTGTGCTTCCGCCTTCTCCTTCTGCACCTTCTCCAGCTTGTCAGCGTCAGGCACCTTCAAGCTCTTATCGCCGCCAGGATGCGCAGCGAGTGGCTTGTTGGCATCCTTCTCCTCGACCTCCTCTTCATCACCACCCTGTCCAAACTCGTTGATACGGTTGTAATCGACCTTGTACTTCCAAGTCTGAAACAGGTAAACGAAGAAGATGACGTCGTCACGGAGAGTAGCCAGACGGTGCAGAGTAGGCATCTTGATAGTGAAAGCGAAGAGGTCGTCGATGAAGGTGTTGAGGAACTTGTATGTCATGGCGCGTCCGGGCATGTGAGCAACGGACTGCAGGCGGTAGTTGATGTAGAGAGCGGGGACCATCATGAGGAAGCCGTAGGCGTAGACGGAGCCGACGAGGGTGGTGATGATGAAGGAGTACCACGACTTGTGTGTTTCGTACATGAGAGAGTAGATCGCATAGGCGATGAGGAGAGGTACGGCGACCATGTAGAGATACTTGAATGCGATGGCGTCGTATTCTTCTGTCTTCTTCTCTGTATCGGAGAGGACGTGCTTGTCCTCGAACACGATGGTGTAAGGAAGCAGAGAGCCGGGTGCTGTTTGCCGAATGCGCACATTGACTGACTTGGTAATCTTCCATGCTTCGATTGCCATGCCCATACCCTGACCAAAGAGGATCATGTAAGACGTATTCTCGTTGTTGTCGATGAGATAGAGGAAGATGACGGCCTGCATGAAGACGTTTGCGAGGATAGTACGGACTGAAGTTCCAACATTGTCTTTCTTCTTGCGCCAATGCTGAACGTCGTTCTTGAAGGCGAGCATCTCGAAGATCATGTGGAAGACGGAGACGACTGCGGTGATGGCGAGTAGGTATGAATTGCTGTCAATGAGGATCTCTTTAAACATCTCCATCTCAGAGCCATCGCCACCTCCGGGGGTGGATTGACCGGCAGCGGCTGCCCTGGCGTTGGCATTGAGGTTTTCGTCGACTGCTGCGAAGATGTTGTATTTCCAGTGGGCAAGGTTGTTGAGCTTCACGTTGAGTGGGAGGGTTGTGACAGTGTCGTTCAGCTCAATCATGTGCTTCTTGAGCTGCCAGAAAGTGTTTGTGAAGACGATGGGATAGTACCAACTGTGTTGACCAGTCGGATCTCGTGCACCAGTGGCTTCAATTGTAATGAATCTCCTTGGACCGGGATGCATGGTGGCGTACTGCATGGTGCCCGCGTCGGGGATCAAAGAGACGGTGAAGTTGGGATGGTAGTAGGAAGCCACGATCTTTGGCGCATTCTTCTCTTCTTCAGTCTCGACGGCGTCTCTTTCGGGCATATCGCTCAGCAAGTTCCTAGTCTTCGCAATCTTCTTTTTGGGCTGGTATTGGGACAGTGGGCGGATAAAGTGATAGGCCTTGCTGGTGTCATAGCCTGGCTGCGCGGGATCGAGCACACTGCCGCTCTGCGCCACATAGAAGTGAGCAAGTAGAGTGGCATTATGTTGCACCTCGCGTGGAACTTTGAACTCAGTATGGATCTCTCTGTTGTCCTTGTAATCTCCAAATTTGAAGTTCTTCTCGTCAATCAATAGCGATTCCTTGGGCATCGACTTGAGCGGGGGCATGGCGACGGACGAGGAGATGTACATGGCGATGTCCATCTCAATGCCAGCAGGCCACATGGGCGCAACAGCATACGGGACAGGGCTCCACTGCGCGCCAGGATCGAGAGATTGTGGGCGCTGTTCCCACGCGGGAATCACGACATTGCCAGACGGCTTGACAGCAGCGACGGAGCCAGTTTGCGCGGCATCGTTGACGGCGGGGGCGGTCTGAGGGGACTTTGGCATGATGTACTTCATGCCACCCTGAATAAGCAAGAAGATGCCTACGCTTTGCGCGATCGACCTGAGGAGCTATTGTGAAGCCGTTAACTGGGTATCGCAAAATGGAGGGGTCTCGTTCGCGACATACACTCTTGCCCTCCTCAGGCGGTGCGGCGGCTGCTTGTGCCTCTGGCATGGTGGCAACGTGCGGAACAGAAATTCCGTCTTGAGCAGCTTGCTAGGTGTAGAAGGATGATGGGCTCGCGATGAGGTCTGAACAGATAACCTGGAGACTTCCCGAGGAATTGGCGCTTCCCAGAGGTCCGTGCCTGCCTATCCCGGCTCAGGGTCTAGCCACATGGGCCAGCGAGATCCCGGCCCAGGTGGCAGTGACGACATGCAGCTTACCGAACTGCATACCCTTTAGGGTCTACCGCTCTCCAAGGGACTGCAACCATGAGTCGGCAAGAACATTAGCCATCGGGTACAGCCTGACTCACTCTGACACCTTGGAGCATGGGACTGTTGCCTGAATCTTGAATTATTTGAACCATTCTTTGCAGCCTTGTGTCCCTGCCCCTCACTCGCCTCAACACGTCAATTGCTACTGACAGCTCTCGTTCCGATACTAGCTTTCTCATTCCGAACACTCATCATCCACGCAATCGACATGGCAAACGACGACGCGACAGCCAGCAACGGCTCTACCAACCAGCCCGTGGTCGCTGTGTTGTACGTCGAACAATAAAGAGCCAACCAGCATATCCATTTACTAACCGCAATACAGTTGCGGCGCCTCCAGTGGTACATCACCAGTCCACATGGAGGCAGCAAGGTCGCTTGCACATGCCCTCCACAAAGCAAACACCAAGCTCGTATACGGTGGCGGCACGGTTGGCCTCATGGGTGAGGTAGCACGAACCCTTGTTTCGCTGTCCGGTCCCGACTCTGTTCACGGCATCATCCCCGCCGCTCTCACTCGACTCGAGCAAGTAAGTTAGGGACTGTACGGAATGTATGTGAGACATACACTAATATCGCTGTCTTTGCCTTTGAGCAGAATCACGACCCTTCCAATCCTACCGGCCACTCCATCGACTCGGCAATATACGGACGCACTACTGTCGTCAAAGACATGCACACGCGAAAGCAGATGATGGCTCAAGAAGTCGTCAAGGGAGGACCAGGTGGCGGCTTTGTTGCTCTACCTGGAGGCTACGGCACATTCGAAGAGTTGATGGAAGTCACCACTTGGAATCAATTGGGCATCCACAGCATGCCTGTGATAGTCTACAACGTGGATGGCTACTGGAGCGGCCTTATTGAGTGGGTCAAGAATGCTGTGACCAACGGCTTTATTGCACCCACCAATGCCGGAATTCTCTCCGAGGCTCTTAGTGCTGATGAGGTGATGACATGTCTGAAGGAGTATGAAAATGCACCTGGACGGTTCAACCTGACCTGGGAGGAGCAGTAACGGAATGCGTTACAAAGTTAGAAGGAAACTTCAACGTTCCGCTAACCACAAGCTAGAGCGTAGCTGTGTCTTGGAGGAGGCCGGTTGGTCACGATTGAGCTCTCTCCTTTGGCCAAAAGCAATGCATGGAGAACAGATCGTCAAGGTACGTCTGCGCGAGGTAAACAGAAGAATATGAAGAGAGCCCTTATTTCCGCCATTAGATCCACATCAGTAGATCCACATTAGACTACATCTTAGAATTCAAAACAACCATCTCTATGCAGAATTTGCCGACCGGTTTGGTATTATCCGACTGTCCGCGTAAGCTAATGAGACATTGGGAAAGTCCTTGCACTGCCCGTAACGACTTATCATCGGCAATAACGTCGTGCGGCCGAACCGGTTAGGTCGCATACACAATACAGTGTGGTGCTGGTTCTGTACGAAGCATCTAGACCTATTGAGGCAGGAGCAAAACCATTGTCAGACGCGCGAGCCACTTTGATTCGATAACACCCGCCCAGGTCAAGATAGTGACCTCAACGCGCATGCGACAAGCTTTGACAAGCCTTTTCCAAGACTGCTTAAATACGCTAGGGTAATGTCGCTCCTGCACTTCCTTCATTGTTCTTGCGCAATTTGTTTGCAGCTGTTACAATGCTTACCAAGTCAGTAGCAACGCTTTTGTTGGCGCTCTCAAGTCTCACCTTGCAAGTTGCTGCTGTTTCTCACAAGCAATGGAGCAAGCGGAGCGATCATTTATACCTACCGAAAGAGACTAGCGACTACAAGACCGCTACCGCTCCGAACAATGTCACCATTCGATACAAGAACCCGGGCATCTGTGAGACTACTCCAGGCGTGGACAGCTACTCTGGATATGTCGATCTGACACCTGATGTATGTACTTTCATCACACATAGCTTCAAGGTCTGCTTCTAACATCCTTTAGGTCCATGTATTCTTCTGGTTCTTCGAGTCCCGCAACAACCCTGCATCCGACCCATTCACTCTATGGTTGAACGGAGGGCCTGGCTCAGATTCGCTCATCGGTCTGTTCGAGGAGAATGGACCTTGCATGATTGATGACAACCTTACAGCAGTATACAATCCTTACAGCTGGAACAATGTCTCCAACATGCTGTATATCTCGCAGCCTGTCGGGACAGGTTTCAGCTACCAGAAGCAGGGTGTAGGAAGTTTCAATTCGTTCTCTGAAGACTTTCATTACAACTCTAGCGAATGGCCTGCTACGGGGAGATGGCCCCTGTTGGAACCGCTAAACACCGGCACAATTGACACTACTGACCTTGCTGCAGTTGCTGTATGGGTGAGTTGAATCTTTACGCTGAACACCGGTGGCTTGAGCTAATTTCACCCGAAAAATGCAGCACGTCTTCCAGGCACTTTTGGCTACTGTTCCAAAATTCGATGCGAAAATCGGAGACCTGAATGCTGCAAGAGACTTCAACCTCTTCACTGAGTCATACGGTGGTCACTATGGCCCAGCCTTCTTCAACTACTTCTACAACCAGAACTTGAAAATTGAGAACGGCAGCATGCCTGGCTACCCGCTTAACTTCAACTCTCTCGGCATAATCAACGGTATCATCGACGAGTCCATTCAGGCTGAGCACTACCCGGAATTTGCCGTTAACAACACCTACGGCATCAAGGCGTATAATGATACTGTCTACTCGTACGCCAAGTTCGCGAACAACATGTACAACGGCTGTCTCTACCAGATCGATCTCTGCCGAGCTGCTGCCGAAGGCAACACCAGTTACTACCACGCTGATGCAAAGATCACAGAGGCAGAGTTGACACCTGGTGAGATGCAGATTTGCAACGAAGCGGCAGATATGTGCCGTGACAACGTCGAATCTCCCTACTACTACTATTCTGGTCGCGGAGTCTATGATATCCGGCATACTTATGAAGACCCAACACCGCCTTCTAACTACCCCGGTTACCTCAACCTAGGAGAGGTACAAGATGCTCTCGGTGTTACGCTCAACTACTCTGGTAGCAATGGTATCTACTACGCGTTCCAGAACACGGGAGACTTCATCTACCCGAACTTCAGGCTTGATCTGGAGTACTTGCTTAGCCAGGATGTGCGCGTCAGCCTGGCGTATGGCGATGCTGACTACATCTGTAAGATTCGCCGTCTCTAACAACATTATGAAATCTGCTAATATGGTTAGGCAATTGGTTTGGTGGTGAAGCCATCAGTCTAGCAATGGAATACACGCATAGTGATGAGTTCCGTGCCGCGGGCTACGAAGCCATGGTTGTAGATGGCACAGAGTACGGCGAGGTACGCCAGTACGGCAATTTCAGCTTCGCGCGCGTCTACGAGTCGGGCCATGAGGTTCCTTACTACCAGCGTAAGTGTTTTTTTTTTCAACTTCTTTCCGACCTGCTTAGTCGTACGATGGTGTTCGCTAACATGGGATGTATAGCTGTTGCCGCGTTGGCTTACTTCAACCGTACCCTCTACCACTATGACATCGCAACAGGCGAGGAGAAGGTTACTGCTAATTTGACTACGTCTGGTCCGGCGAACGCAACGCACACGAACTCGTTTGTCCCGATCACGTCGTCCTACATTCAGGCTTTTCCGTCGCCCATTTACCCTGCGACCACGTCGGTGTATTAAGCTACGGCACCCTATATAAGCTCGATACGACCTTGTGTGCGAGTACATGTGACGTAGTCACAGCTCTTCATGTAATGTGTATAGCTATCACGACCTATAATGAACACCATGTGTATGATACGTTTGTTTCGCACCGTATACGATGACCAACGAACAGTACTTATCGATTCTCATCGCACTAACACGTCATCTGATGTGTTGTGTTGGTAGAAAATATCTCAAGCCATGCGGTGTCACATCGAGCTAACGTGACACGCGTTGAATCAAGGATTCTTGACCTTGTTCTTGAATCAAGATATGACACTATAAACGAATCGTTATGTGATCTAGGATGCAATCTTGCGCACAACGTAAAACGAAAGGAGGCTGGTACATAGTTTTGCATGCGCTTTGATGACATCATCAAATCAGGGAGGCTGGAACGGACCTTCCAGAGCTTCTCCTAACTCGTCATGTCGAAACGTACAACGTTCATTCAGACTTCGAGAGACGCATTTTTGTGTGTGTGTGTGTGCCCGGTATTGGAATATAACGTGACAATGGCCCATGTGGTTGTGGAAAGCGTGCTGAGGTGAGAGCTCAGAGGTGGAATTATTGGTAAGAGACATCAAAAATGGAAATCAGATATATAGCTAATATCCATATTCAGGCCCTTCTCGAACTCCAACGGGTCATCGCGCCGTATAACACTGGTTGAGAGCGCGCATTCAGTAGCTATATCTGAAGAGAGCATCCTGCCACTCCGTGAGATCTGAATCGACACTTACGCCAACTTGATCTGAGTCTTCACCTCGGTGAATAGAGACATCTCCCGTCGCTGCATCTCTTTTCCTGTTGCTCGCTTTCGCTGTAAAGTAATGGACTACAAAAAGAACAATCAAAGCACACCAGGCGACTACACTGGTGATGCATCCCTTGGTATAACGGGGTGCATCCTCCTTTTGCCATAGCTGAGGTCCGGTGATACAACCAACTGTGTAAAACACGAAGAAAATCGCGCTCACTACCGACTTCTTGGTGTTTCCTTTCACATTCGAAGCCATGACTGGATATGCGTGTGGGGAGTTAGTAGATGTCTCACATGCAGTTCGTACAAGGACACTTACGGCCTACAGCCACGCTCAGCGGGGGCGCCGTAGAGCCAGCAAACCACGTGGCGACGACAATGCCCCAGCTGTTGCTAGCCGGCAACAGGAGGAGGAGTAGGGTTCCCATCAAAGGCATCAATGCGACGAAGATACCGACCAGCCAGCGGGAATTGGGAAAGTAGGTAGGGCCGAGGGCACCAATCCACACCAATGCGAAAGAAACTCCACCCGATGGCAATCCGACCAACATGGTGCGGAAAGAGGTGAAACCGAATCTTTTAATGACGAGGGACGAGAACTTGACGATGGGAGTTGGCAGCGTAATGCAGAGAGCCATGAGCGCATAAAGCCATGTGCGTGGGTCGATGAATGCTTCCTTCAACTGAGTGGTGTCGAAGGAAGACCTATCCCGTGTCGCACGATCGACAGCAAGACGTTCAGTAGCGATGGCGCGCTCACGTTCAGTGAGAAACCAAGCGGTGGTCGTGCTCCGTGGCATGAAACTGACAAAGAGGATACCGCAGGCAACTGTAAGTCCACCGCAGATAAGGAAAAGCACTCTCCAAGATGCCAAGGCAAGGTTTCCGTTGCCAATACCGTACATCATGGTACCACCGACGATCTGCGAGATACCGAACATAGAAACCCACGTGCTGTATGCATGTTAGTGGACGATGTAGACAGGAGGTTTAGGAGCCTTACGCGATACGGATCGGGTGCTCGCTGCGCTTGTACCAGCCACTCGTGATTATCATGAAAGATGGCGCGACTGCACCTTCGGTCAGACCGAGGAAGAAACGAGCAACAGCAATTGTTGTCCAGTTGGTGGTGGCGCCCAAGCACATCTCTGCGATACCCCAAAGAATCACTGTGATTCCGACGAACAATGTGATAGGAAATCTGCTCATCAGATACGCCGCAGGGTACTCGGACACGAATTGACCAAAGTAGAAGATGGAGATGGCCCACGAGAACTCTGAACCAGACAGTTTCAGATCTTCCTCAAGACCAAAGACGGCAGCATAGTTGATGCTTTGCTTGTCGAGGTCTTTTTGCTATGTTAGAAAAGGCCTGGTCAGAACAAGGGGAAGAGCCTACATTGAAAGAAGTAAACAAGAGCCATGAGAGGAAGGATGACACGGTCAAGCTTCCTCAGAACAGCTCTCTCATCTTTGGGATCGATGTGGTAGGTGACAATCAGACCGCCCTCGAGTTTCTCGCTTGCCTCCTCGACCATCTCAATGCCACGCTTTTCGATCGACTCGGACATGGTAAGATATCGCACAATGAGTGTACTTGTCGTAAGGTGTGGTGATCTCTTTATCGGATAAGAAGTTTGACTTGAGATGCTACCATGAAATTTTGACCCTTGAGATTCTTATAGTTCCAGAGTGTGGCCAACTCCAGACTCTGTTTGCGCTGGTGGAAAACCTCTAGGGATTTCCCCATGGGGCGCCATCTGTGTGCGGAGAACATAGGGCTCAAGTTCACGTCGGATGCTGAAGCCGCACGCCCCTAGCGTGCTAGACAATCGCCGGATGTGACAGCCGCACTTCGTAATGGCTGCTAAAGGACTCAGCACGCCTCGGATGCCGCACCCGACCACGGGCTACCTAGGTAATGACTAGGAGTGTGAAGCACATCTAATTATCCTAACATATAAGCCATGGAAAAAGTCACATTCTGAGTCGCGTCTCTCAAAACATTTACGAGTCTTTCATTATTTATATCGAGAAAGCACTTCTGTCAATTGCTTCTTGAATCGTACTTTCATTTTGAACTACCTGTATACCGGCTGATTTGAACTCTCAACATGGCACCCTCTCGAATTGACTACGCCGAGACCTCTTCAGACGACGTCGATAGATGTGCGGCGAAATCTAAGCAGAACATCTATCTCCTCGAAAATTTTCCTGAGGAGGCTGTCCGCCATAGCCAACGTCTCTTTACAACGATACTACCCGACGACCCCGAAATCGAAAACTGGCGCGACAACGCAGATGCCATTCTCGTACGGGAGAAGACGATTACGGCGGACGACATCGCTTCCACACGAAAGTTACGCGCGATCGGAAAACAAGGCACTGGCATTGACATCATCGACCAAGATGCATGCGAGAAACGTGGAATTGCCATCCTCAATACCCCTGGCGTTAACGCACAATCGGTCGCAGAGCTTGTCCTCAGTCTTACAATGGCAGTTGCGCGACAGCTACGCGTTATATCCACAAAACAGGCAGCAGGGTTAGAAGTTCGAAAGGAACATTGCTGTGGCATGACACTCATTGGAAAGTCCATAGGCATTGTTGGCATGGGCAACATTGGTACAGCCGTTGCTCGCATGTTCAGCGGTGCGTTTGGGGTATCAGTCTATGCCTGCGATCCCTTCGCGTCTACTGAAGCATGGGCTGATATTCCACATACAAGGGTCAATCAGTGGGAAGACATGCTGTCTCACGTCGATGTCCTGACTATTCATGTACCGCTCAATGCGAAGACAAGAGGCATGGTATCTGCCACTCAATTCAAGATGATGCGGCAAGGTTCGATTTTAATCAATGTTGCGCGAGGAGGTATCGTCAATGAAGATGACCTGGTGGAAGCTTTAGAGGAGGGTCACATTTTTGGTGCTGGTCTGGACTGCCATGAGGAAGAGCCTCCGACACTGCAGAAATATGAGAAGCTGTGGGCAACAGGGAAGGTTATCAGCACCCCACACATCGGTGCAACGACAGCAGAGACGCAGGTGCTCACATCTATAGCTGCACTCGACAACGTACACAAGTTTTTGAAGCTCGCGTAGAGCTTGCGATCTGCAACAATGGGTCGGAATTTGGTACTTGTGTTTTGAGGTCATGAGGCTTGATGTTCAATGTAACGGACTAAGGAACTCGGAGCAGATCCAGGTCGGGTTCAGCTAGCGGCCTTTACGTAAAATGGGTCTGCAGTAGGGCCTTGGGACTTCTTGTCGTGACAATGTCATGTCTAACCATAAGACTCGACCTAATACGTCCACTCTTGCATTCTTACTTGTGTCCTTTCCATCTGATCTTACCACAGCATGATGTATGAGCTATGACATCATTTGAGCCCGCAACCAAACGAGCTCGACTTTCTGCACCGGTTGAGGAAGTTGCTCGAACACCCCAAGCGTGCGTAGTGAAAGGTCTGCCATGCGCGCCAACTTGACACTCATAGTAAAGCAGGTGCGCGTCCTGCCGAGAGCGGAAGATCAAGTGCTGTGGCAATCAGCCATGTCGCTACTGCGCAAAGAGAAATCTCCAATGCACTTTTGCGGACAATGGGCGAAGGAAGCTGTATTCGGTGACGTGAGTGACCTTAGAGCCGGAAACGGAAGTGTCTTACGTGAATAGTTATGTTGAAGGATTGGAGAGAAAACTTGCATCTGCTACCGCGACCGCGACTGCAGAGAGCCTCGCCAACGGCACCCCTCCAGCTGCTACATCCCGCAGCACCGGTTCAGTGGACCCTACAGCACAAGCGAACACCGAAGAACTGGACCATAGTTTGGGTACATCATGTAGGTCTGACAGTCGTCCAGAGCATTGTGACATGGCCTCATTATTGCCTTCTAGCGATCGTCCTAGAGCCAACCATGTCTTCAAGCCTCAACTTCGGGTCCCGTATCAAAAGCCTACACTCTGAGAATGTAACGGATTCAGTCGGTTCTACCAGTATCTGCGATGCCAGTCCGGACAATGTTTACAATCTGGAGCCTGGGGGTCTTAAGCACCGAACAACATCCACCGACATTACATGGCCGAGCGAGGAACAGGCGCATGACTTACTCAATACAGTCCTCGCATCTATTGGAAGCTTGCAGCATCTGATCGATCCGAGATCGTTTTCTGACAAGCTCTGTAGCTTTTATGAAGACGACTCGAACCGAACAGGCATTGACGATCTTTGCTACATTGAAATCCTCATGGTTTTTGCCTTGGGTGAACTGTTACAGGGTAAGATGGAGGAAGGCTCAACATTCCCTGGTGCCACCTACTTCCTCGAGGCTGTCAGCTGCCTACCTTCGTTATGTGATCTACGAAAATCGGGTACGTTGGCAATCGAGATCATGGGTTTGTTCGCTTTCTTTCTACAATGCTCTGATCGGAAAGACGATGCGTACGTCTATGTAAGCTATTTAGATCTCGTCTCTTGAAACTGTTACTATCGTCCTAATAACACTATCGAAGGCTGGCGTGGCACTGCGGCTGGCCATGTCCAATGGTCTCTCTCGCGATGATGCCACAGTTCAGATGAAGAGATCTGAGAAGACGCATCGTAATCGCTTATGGTGGACCATATATATGCAAGAGAGGTCATTCATCCATCCTGGATACGTAGCATTTTCTGACTTGTCATAGGAGACTAGCCGCCGCAACAGGTAACCCTGTTGGTATTCTTGACGACAACATAACCACCAAATTGCCCATCGAATCCGCAGGTTTCTCACCGACACCGGCACTGAAGATCAATATCGAGATCGCGAGGTTGAGTGGTTTGATCACACAGGGTGAGTTGCTGGTCATCCTTCATTTCATGATCACGCAGCATAACGTCTCCAGGACTATATGGACTCAAGGGAAGATCTGAAGGACAATTCCTGCGCACTGTACACGATCTCCTTGGAGAGCTTAAGTCAGTGAGAAGAGACCTTGCAGCTGAGTTTCCATTAGAATTTTCGAAAGCTTTTACCGTTACAAGGACGGGTGCGACACTGTATCTGATGCTATTCCAGGTAATAGACGTCTGAGTACATTCGGAGCACGCTGACAGGTGCTATAGGCTATTATACTGACAACAAGACCAATTCTCCTCCATCTCGCTAAATCGAAGCTTCAAGGTAACGACACAGACCTTTCAAGCACCGCATCTTCCACTTTGCACGTGCTTGCAGCGACGTGTATAGAAGCTGCAGGTATGACTTTGGATGTTCTACTCTCGCTCAAGCAACAGGAATTGCTAGCTAAATTCGGATATTTTGATTTGGATGCAGCAATCTCGGCCGCTTTTATTTTCATACTTGTTGAAAGCCTTCAGTCTGTTGGATCACCTCGCTCAGGACTCCATGGCATCCGAAGTGCGACAAGCATACTTCGATACCTCACCAAGCATGGCAACAAAGCTGCTGCGAAACGCATGTTAGATGTTGAACATATCTGTCAGCACCTCGGTATTGGAATTAGTGTTCCCACTATTGCCGGAAGTCCTGCTGCTACTGCTGAAGGGCCATCGGATAATTTAGATCATGGAGCCTTATGTGATCGTCTACCGTCTGCGGAAGATACGACGATGTCCAACAAGTCACACGCAGCAGATACGTACCAAGAGCCTACCTTAGCCACTAATTGGCGGCAAGCTCTCTTCGAACTGCCAGATCATACTAGTCGCTTCTCAAACAGTCTGGGATTCGACAACGAATCGTACGATATACCCTCTATTGACGACATCGGCGATTTCAACCTCGATTTTGGTAACGACTTCATGCTGACAGGGGCCGACGAGATAGATTGGGAGGAATTCGAGCGACAAATCCCCCGCAATCAATGAGCAGATACAAAAGATCTCTGGAGAGAGAACAAGAAAAGATGAAGGAAGAAACCATTTTTGCTTTACTTTTGTAAACTTCTTAATAAAGCAGAGTTTGCCGTTCCGCCTTGCAACAACAACCCAACATCCTGAGCACCCACTACCCACTTTGCGCCGAACTCATTGATCACGCGCTCCAATATATCTGGCCTATGGTACAATCCCGCAATACCCATAATCTTGCCGTGTTTTCTCGCAGCTGCACCCACCTTTTCCAGCGCGGCTAGGAAGCATGGTGCGTCCCAATCGCCCAGAGTTCCGATTTCTGAAGCTAGGTCGTTGGAGCCGACGAGGAGTACATCGGCACCTGCTAGCGCGGCGATATCGTCGACAGCTGCAAGAGCGTCCGCCGTCTCTATCATAATGAAGACAGTAGAGCCGGTTGCGTTCATCTGCGCAGTCATGGTGGTGGTAGGTACGGGAGCGAATTCGAAGTGAGGGAAGCCGGCGCTGATTGATCGTTTGCCCATGGGAGGATATTTAGAGATGTTTATCGCGCGGAGAGCATCATCTGTTAACATCATATTTGTCAGCCATATTCAGTACCAGAAAGATGATTCTAGCGGGATTCTAGCCAAAGGGTCAGCGGTAATGAGGGAGACCTGCCGACTGTGTGAATATGTGGAACAATGATACCCATGGCTCCAACATCCAAGACCCGTTGTACGAACCCATTACCGCACTGGTGTGGCACGCGAACGAAGGGCGTGATCCCAGCTGAGTTTGCTGTGATGCATAGTTGATTGGCATCTTTGATTGTCATGGCTGTATGCTCCAGGTCGATGAACAACGAGTCATAGCCAGCTGCTTTGGCAATGTGTACTATCGATGTATCCGGCGTTATCTTGATACCAAATGCGGTGCATATCCTCGATTGCGCTGCATTACTGAGGAGGTTGTTGGGGGCGATTGAAGAAGCCATGGTAAGTTGCAAATTGTGAGATTCAAGCAGGAACAGTGTATAGGAAAAGGAATATTGTGAGTATCTGCTTCTCCGAGTCAGGACCTACCACGTACTTCTTCGACTATTTATTTGTCTGAGGCTTTATTCTTGATCCGAGTCGCATTGCACAGTGGGGTCCCTAAATGTGAAGTACCCCACGGATGTCGAAGCCGAAGTACGCTAGTCTCCTCATCTCGCCCCGGGCCTCTCCTCCACAGCTTACCTTGCCTCCAACATGGGATGGTACACGGGTGCAGAACACATCGTACTAATCAGCGCACCTTGTAGTCTTGGCCATCAATTCCACAACGTTTTTCCGACATCGGATCCCATTATCCACACTGTGCTCTCCCTTCGCGAACACTGAACCATAGCAGTCTTTACGTTTGGATGCGATTACCCTGTCTAGATGGACTCTAGTCTGCGTCGCTAAAAGCCTTCGCTATACCTGTATCAGATATTGTAATGCATGGTAGTCTGAATTCCACTCTTCAGGCTCAGAGTTGTTGTCATTAATGCTCAAGTCCTGTCGCAAGATATCCTGGTGCGTGCTGTCGAGGGAAGAATCTATCGGATTAAGGTTCTATGTCCGCAGTTCAGCTTATCGGTTTCACCTTGTGGAGTCAATTGACCTGCGCTGGTGGCGGCAGTGTGCGTTGTTGTGATGGCAGCGGGTCGCTTCTTCTGCTTCGAAGGCTGGGTCAGCAACCGTGCCAAACGGGTTGCCACAACAACCACGATAATGTTTGTGAAGAATTCGAAACAGGAGTCTTTGCTAGTAGGTCATGGACGATGGGCAAGATATACTATACGACGATGGTTAGCTTCTGGCGCAGTTGAGACATGATTGTGGGCACGGTTGACGAGCTGTAGTTTCTATGTGTGAGTAAAATAGTAGTGTAGGCCCGGGTAGTTGCTCGCTTGCAGAGAAAAACTGCATATAGACGAAACAGAGCAAATTTGTGTCAAACATGCTGAGAAGGTTCTGTTGCAATCTTGCAGCATGTAGGCAAGCACATGAACGTGTGTGCAATATCTCCGGTAAAAGACAACCAGACTCGGCGAAAGGGACTGAAAAAAGTCACAAGGCATGGAGGCGGGCGACGAGACAGGACTACAATTAGAAGTTCTCAGATGGCGTGTATACCATGATGCGTTAGGATAGGCCCATGTTTGGCCACATGTGAACGCCAAACTCCATGCTAAATGCTGCAGATGCTCCAAAGGAGTTGTTTTACTTCGACGTCGTGGGGAGGGCGAACAATTGCGGCTGCATGTTGATCTTGCACAAGCGCGCAACGCAGCCGGATAGCTGTAGAAGTGTTTGCACGCCTTCGAGGATGCGCATGTGGGTGAAGCCAATTTCCTGTTCCCCATCAGCCATTGTATTTCGTCTGAGTTAACAGCAATTACCTTGATGAACTCCAACTTCGCGTGCTCACTCAGCGTATCAATGGTCTTAGTAACTTTGAACATTGTGCTGATAATATCGTGGCATGAATATCCTAAATCCCAGAGCTCTTTCAACGACGCCAAGGCATCATCGATGCGCTGCTCGTGGCACGCCTTGATCATGGCTTGCACTTTGATGGGATGCGGGCTGTCGACCACTCTGAAGACATTGTCGCCGTTTACAAAGCCGAAACCAGCGAATGTCGACTGTAGGTTGTTGATAGCTTGTCGCATATCTCCCTCAGCGGAGAAGACGAGTGCCGCAATCCCATCGTCTGAATACTTTACGTCCTCGGCCTCGCAGATCTGCATAACGCGGCGCACGACTTGCGCATCGGTAAGGCGAGCGTATCTGAGTATGGCACATCTCGACTGCAGCGGCTCAATGATCTTGTTCGACTGGTTGCAAGCGAATGCAAACCGTGTTGTTGCACTGTAGATCTCCATTGTCCTCCTCAGGGCTTGCTGCGCACCGCTGGTCATGCTATCCGCCTCGTCCAGAATGACGAGCTTTTGCCTGCCTGGTGCAAGTGTGACTTTCTTCTGCGCGAAGCCCTTTATTCTGTTGCGTACGACGTCGATACCACGCTCGTCAGAGGCGTTGAGTTCGAGAACAGCCTCTTTGTAGGCGTCACCGAGGAGCTGGCGTGCGAGACAGAGGATGGACGTGGTTTTGCCGATACCAGGCATGCCAGAGATGATCATATGTGGCATGTTACCGTCTTTGGCAATGATCTTGAGGCGTTCAATGGTTTCAGTGTTGCCGACGACATCATCGAGGTAGACGGGACGGTATTTCTCTACCCTAGGTGCCTGTTAGTTTGGATGAGCTGCGAAGGGCGCGGGTAGTCAATTACCATGGCAGTTCATAGTTAGCACCACCAGCAGCGTTGGGATTTGGTTTGACACCATTGCTGGCAGCTGCTTTGGAAGATTCGGCTTTGGACATTTTGGGCTGTGGGTGTTGGTCTGGAGGGGTGACGCGAAACACGCGATGCTCTGCAAACGCGCTTTCACGGGTCGTCCTTCTTGGGACTAGTGCTCACGTGCAGCGAGGATCGACCCGCAGCCCATCAAGCCTTTCGCACTAAAGATAGGGCGATGTGCGTGCGCGGATGCGACGTCACCCTTGCAGGAATCGTAAGTAGTACGACCGATTTACAGCGACATACTTTTCTCATGTCGAGTACCAATGGAGAGCGAGAGTTCAACATGGCTCATCGGCTTTTTCTTCTTTACGTAGGGGCCGAGATAATTACTTCTCGGGGCTCTTCGCTACCGACGACGATGCTACGCCACATAGATACGATCCCAGGTACCGGTTCCTGCAGGGGCGTCAGGTTTCAGCCTCAAACGTCTTTTTTCTCGAGAGGCACAGCGCTTTCAGGCGTCTCTTGACCACGCGGTATCTCTTGACTCCGGGCGCCTGGGGATACCATCTGGGGACTCACCGGCCGCTAGGCTACTGGATTATGCATCGCATCTTTTAGTAGCCTTTCGATGAACGACGGCGTCAAGACACTGTGGTAGACCATGTGACGTACGCGGCTGACGGAAGCCCGGCCGAACGCGCAGCCTACAATACAAACTCAAATACCACGAGGTAGCTATTGTGAAGCAGCATTTCCCGACGTTTTCTCATGAGGCTATGAATGTTTTGCGGTGTTGATACTGTTTGCGCCATATTCGCCTACTATGTACTGACAAGGCGCATGCGACACAGCGGCAAGGCTTGTCAGATCGGCACCAAGCGCTTGGCTGGGCCATGGAAGCGGCGTCAAGGCGAATCGTCTCGTAATAGAGGCACCGCCACGCCCTGCGGATCTTCCACCAGGGCACACACAAGTCCTGTTGGCTGCAGGCTTTTAGCCCCGGAAATGTCGGCGGCTGCCCATGTTCGTTACGTGGGCAGCTGCACTAAGGGCCACAGGATCCGTAACAATTCCAGACTTGACCTCATCATACGCGTCGTCATCACAAGGCTCGAACGCCCCCTTCGCCGACTAGAGCCTACCCGCCTGCGCCTCTGCTACATATTGGCTTTATCCCTAGTCGCTCTCCAGTCGTCCTTCCCCTGTTGCTATTGTTTCCCTGTTGTCCACTATTCTCGTGTGCTTGTACAACGCTTCGCTCTCTGCGACTTCAACTGCAATCTCAAACACGATTCATAGCTGCCTTCTCTCAGCTCCGACCACTCGCGCGTCAGGTTTCACCAAGCCACACCAGAGACTGTTTGTAATCCGTGGTATACATCCACCGCACAGCCCTAGCATCGCATTTCCAGGAACAACATCATGAAGTACTCGACATTCCTGGCGGCGCAATTGGCGTCGTCGGCCGCGGCAGTGAGGCTTGCACCACGAGAGGTAAGTGCGGCTCTTGGCATCCCCAGCATTTCAGTCCGAAGCGAGATCCTCCCGAAGTCCTCCCATACAAGCGTATAGACGCGTCTCTGCGAGCCATCATACTAATGTACACCTAGAATCCGCGAGTGGTGCGCCTAGATACTCAGCGCCGGAACATCGTCAACCCCGTCGCACACGACCAGCTACGAAGACGGCAAAAGGTTGTCCAGGAGACACTGGACAATCTCGAGACGCTCTACTTCGCCAACGCAAGCTTAGGTACTCCTGAGCAAAACTTCCGGCTACACATCGACACGGGTAGCAGCGATCTTTGGGTCAACTCGGTCAACTCGAATCTGTGCAGCCAAGGCGGCAACCAGTGCGGCCAATCTGGCACATACAACGCAAACGACTCGTCAACATACAACTACGTCAACGGCGCTTTCAACATATCATACGTGGATGGATCAGGCGCATCGGGAGACTATGCGACAGACACTTTCCGCCTCGGCGGACAAACAATAAAGGATCTGCAGTTTGGTATCGGCTACGTATCAAGCTCACCAGAGGGCATCCTTGGAATCGGTTACACCATCAACGAGGTCGCTGTAGGCCGCGCAGGACTGGACCCATACCCAAACTTGCCTCAGAAGCTGAAGGATGATGGTACCATCAACTCAAACGCATACTCTCTGTGGCTGAACGATCTGGACGCATCTACTGGAAGCATTCTCTTCGGTGGCGTGGACACGGACAAGTACCAGGGCGAGCTTCAGACACTACCTATCATCCCAGAGCGAGGACAATATGCTGAGTTTATAATTGCCCTGACTGGAATGGGCCGCGATGGCAAGAATGGCTCCATCTTCGAGAACTCAAACGTGCCCGTCTTGCTCGACTCTGGGTCTTCGTTGATGTACTTGCCCGATAACGTCGCGAGCTCGCTATACCAAACCTTTGACGCTCAGTACGACGCTTCGCAGGGGGCTGCCTTTGTTGACTGTGATCTTGCAAACCAGCAAGGCTCTCTCGAGTTCAACTTCTCTGGTGTCCAGATCTCCGTCCCGCTCAACGAGCTTGTCATAGTTGCTGCTGTTAGCCGCGGACGACCCGTCTGCATCCTTGGTATCGGACCTGCCGGACAATCTGTCGCTGTTCTTGGTGACACCTTCCTACGATCCGCATATGTCGTCTACGACCTTGAGAATAACGAAATTTCTCTCGCCCAGACCAACTTTAACGCTACCTCTGAGAATATTCAGGAAATCCGGGAAGGCTCTGACGGTGTACCCAACGCAACCGGTGTTGCTGGTGCGGTATCAACTGCAGCAGTCGGCACTGGTGGACCCCGAGTCAATGGCCCTAGTGTCACAGGTGGTGGCGGTGGAATTGAAACTTCCACTGCCGCTGCCATGCCTGTTGCAACTACAAACCCCTGGATTGGCGGTGCAGCGATCGCTGGCGCAGGTATTCTGATGGGCTTCAACGGCTTTTGATGTGTAGATCACAATTTTCCTAATACCTGTCCAGCTTAATGAACTTTTCTTTCACATGCATACGTGCATTATTGGCGTTCTCAAGAGTGGCATGGAATCACAACCTCTTGGTTTCCAGGGGGACTTGCATATTAACCAACCTACCTGGAGTTAGGTATGGCGTCTATAAGAGTAAATAGCATATATGATGAATACTTTAACGTTAATATTTTTCCAGCGATTTGTCTGTTCTTGAAATGCACTGGTGATTGTAATGCTGCAGCGTCAGGCTGGATGGTGACGACGCCTAACAGGACGCGTGGTGCTTGCCGCGTAATAGTTTCATCGCCTGGAAATCACTAAGTCGACAGCTGCGCATCGTCACCTGCATAAAGATCTGGACCGCTCAAATCATCGTCAATTATTTCCACCAATAACTCAGTCTGCGTACAGTTGCCACCGTATTACTGATTTTGTAAGCGTTCTTCTTGGCTTGAGCCCCTACTAGATGACTGCCAAAAGTGGCCATACCCGCCGCATTCTGTCCCTTTACCCAAGCCAACTCACCACTCAGTCATACCCGTTACTTGAACCTTCAATTTAATCACGCCTCCCCAAATCAGCATGTAACCCTGACATTGACGACGTAAACGATTCCTCCAATAATTCCTCTATTTCCCTGCTCGGTTGCCACGGTTGTGAATGTTGCATCGGTGGGGCCGGGTTCACATGGAGTGCATGTACGACGCTGTTTGCCTGCTGTTTAGGTTGTGCTTGTTGAGATCTTGACTTTTGAATGCGGTCGTAAAGCCATGCTTCTGCTCCACATGGTGCTCCACATAGCCTGCCCCATCTGTAGCGTAGCCTGTTGGTGATGACAAAGAAGACAAGAAAAAAGGAAACATAGGCGTCCAGGTACCAGTGGCATGTCATGCGGAGCCAATCATAGCTGAGGCAGTATAGACTATGTCTGGTCATGGGAGGATTGAACGAGAGCGCCTACGGTCGTGTGACTGGTTGCTCTATGAGATACCGTCCATGTTTGTTTCAATAGCAGAGCATACTAAAGATTAGGAGACTACACAAGGAGAATGAAAGTCAAGGAAAGGATAGACCCGGATGAAAGAGGGCACAAAAAGTAGAAAAGATGAGTGTCCCTAACTTCTGAGAACCTCGTACACCTATCAAACAGTATCGTGCGTATCATTACCATTGTGCCTCAATCGTCCGGCGTGTATGTGCTGGGTCCCGACCTCGTTGCTCCTTGACCCGCTATTCAGGTCTTTCTTAAAGTACTTGCTAATGTATCCTCGCTCACCCCAAAGGTGGAAAGGATCCAACAAGCCCTTAAGCACACCCCTCTTCCTCTTTTTCTTCTCTGCTCTCGCTGCTTCTAACTCTGCATCACTCATATCCCAGAACTGCGTCTTCTTATCCTTCCCCTTAACCAAGCCCCAAAGGTCAAAGGGATCGAAGATGGTAATGATCCACGGCCTATCATCACCCCAGCCGGGCCCTTTTCGTTCAGTTACGCCATCGCGAGCCAGAAAAACGGTGTTGGAAGGAGGCAAGCGCTTTCCAGGGTGAAAGATATTGAGTAGAGCAGTATTGAGTGCCATGATGACAGCTTCGAAGATCCAAAAGTAGATTTCGTTCTGATAGATAGAGGATTCCCAGCCGAGAATGTATTCGACGAGGCAGTAAATGCAACGAATAGTAACAATAGAGGCACTCACGTACATGACGTAGAGTACAACTCGTAGATCCTTCTTGAGTATTCCGGCCTTGTTAGCACGTCGGTGGAACTGTGCTGCGAGAAGCCCAAAAGCACCGAAGAGTGCTGCTTGAAGACACAGCGACGCGGTGACAAGGTCTGAGCCGAGCTTCCGTTCTGCATCTGTAGAGCTGGAGTCGGCCATGCGCCAGGCACCTTGTCCGATAAGGATCTCACACACGCCATCGAGACCTATGAAAGTTGTTGCTACACGTCCCGGGTGAAGAGGCGCCAGGTAGGGAATGTAATAGAGGAGCCGTGACAGTATGAAGTAGTTTATGAGGGCGTACACTGGAGGTCCAGACATAATCAGTACAGTTGAAGCTATGAGATAAGCTAGATTGTCAGTGTCATAGGCACCAGCGAGTCGCACTGCGAAGCCGCTAATCATCAAGAGAGCGGCCCATGGAAGTAATAGTGTTGTTCGCCATGACTTGTGCTTGCTAGGAAAAGTCAGTATAATGAATCAGCAGAAACCGGAGTATTTACATTGTCTGCCAGGCATGTAGCGCTCCAGAGACAAAGAAGACGACGATGAAGACAATTGGCGCTGCTCTGTTTGGTGCGTAATACCAGACACTGCCAGGTGAATAATCTCCCATGCCCATCTTGAGAGCTGATGGTTTTGTTCAAAAGATATAGAAAGTGAAGTCCAGTGAGTGCGACAGCTGAAAGATGGGAGTCAAATGTTGTGTCCCAAGAAACAAGAAGCATGCGAAATAAGGCTTAGAAAGACCCGAACAGCGTTGATAACGTATTGCTCTCTTTCTAATATCGAACACTGCCTAACATTTATCGCATGGGACCTACGACGGTGCACAATAGAGGCGCATATGTCAGACCCCTCACGGAAAGACGAATGCGAAGAATGCGAAAACTCACGGGGCGCTCAAATGCCGCATCACGAGCCCACAAGGCATAGCGCAGGGCTGAACGAGCGTGTTCATCCACTGGTGGCAGGGTGAAGCGAGAAAAATCGCTGCTGACCGGTGATGGATTGAGAGGCTCGCACAACGGCCATAGAAGAGACGACCACACGTGATGTGGCGGAGACCTCAACGCCTGAGCGGGTCTTCGCCGAATTTGGGTTAGTCGCGCCTAGCGGTGAAGCCACCCAAAGCGCAACGTTCGTCTCGCGACGGCATCAATACCCGCGCACTCGAACAAACGTCATCAATCACATAATCCGCCGTCATACCGTATTCCTCATCGTGCACGTTTCATGAGTGTGGCTGGAAATGGTGCGCCAGCCCTGGGTGCCACAGAGGATGGTTCTAGGCAAACTCAAGTTGAACCTACGGTGATGGACGGGCTATCAAGCTCCAAAGTGACGGGTATGCACCCCTGTAAATTTACCACCCCTATGCTTATGCTTCGCAGTCGAGTACCATGACCCTTCTGGAGTCTTTTCGTTGATACAAGAGGACTTGGCTGCGCGCCTACCCCTTCGTAACTTGCACTGGAAAGCTCCTACACGGCCACTGAGATCCATCGACTCTCTGCATGTTGACCTTGTGCCCAGTAAAGAATCAGCACAAGCTGCAAGTGCGGCCTCGTCAGCTTCAGCACCTGGTCAAGGTACGCCTAATAGGAATATGGATGAGATTTTCAGAGCACCTAACAAAGAGAAAGAGCGGCGACATCAAATCCCAGGACTGCGTCAAACTCCTTATCTAAAGGTCTATCTTCTGAGATGTGACGATTCAGAGACTTATAAGGCGACTGCACGGAAGCAAGTCCGCGAGTGGGTGAAAGAACACACACCACCTTCTCAAAGCAGTACAGCGAACACTCAGGAGAACCATGATGCATACGAATGGTTGATTCTACATGTGGTCGTACCTGAGACGCCAGCAGCAAGTCAGCCTCGTGGGTCTTCAAATACCATGACTGGCGAGAAGGAGAAGACTGGGGCAGCTTCTAGATGGACGCGCGGGACGACGACCCTACTCGAAAAGCTTCGCGCAGACTTCAATGTCTCCTCAAAATCGGCACCTGATCGCGTAGCTCAGATACGGGTGCCAAAAGAAAGAGTTCCACAGCACATGCTTCCAGCTGCAGCGCCTGTCACCTCACCACCTATCACTGAGAGCCCTCAGGAACAAGAGCGTGCCTGGGCTGATGTCATAGCTAAGTTCAAGATGTTGATACTCCTCTCGTTTGACCTCCGGGTAAGTCAGTACGAAGAGGACATCCGGAAGAATGACGCTCAGCGCTCGTTTCCTGGCTGGAATTTCAACACGTTCTTCATCTTAAAGGAAGGCTTGGCAAGAGGCTTCGAAAGCGTAGGCCTAGTCGAAGATGCTCTGCTCGGATATGACGAGCTTTCCATCGGTCTAGACAGCGTTATACGTGATCAGTCAAGTGAGAATGCACAAGGAAGTGTTTTACTCAGCCACTCAGATGATCTGTATCAGATAGCGGCCGAGATCGCGCAACAGGATGGGAAGGACGAATCAGCATCGGCCATACACGACGATAGGCCAATCAACGCGCTAAAGAAAGACTACCGCGGTCTCATCCTCGCGAACAACATCTCAATCTTCGACTTCAGGCTGTACATCTTCGCTCGCCAGATGTTCTTGCTGTTAAGACTCGGAAATTCCGTCTCAGCACGTTCTGACCTCGCAGCTAAACTACAACCTCGACCAAATGCCAGCATAATTCAGCGATCGACTGACGACAGCGCTATTGGTATGAAGTCGGGGGGTCAAGTCAATGATTCGGAAGATCTTTTTTCTCTGGCTGAACTCTGCTCTCGCGCACTGAACTTTATCACTTTTGCCGGACGGCTCTTGCGAGATGACCTGATCAATGGGTAAGTTTAGTTCACGTCCGCCGATTCGAAGTACTTACTCATGAGTTTAGCGCGAAAGCTCACGATACCACATTGCCCGACAATCTAATTGAGAACGTTGTTCGTTCGTGGACATTCGCTGCGCTGGACCAAGTGCTGCGCGAAACCTCTACAGGCTCACTTCCATTTACTAGGTTCTCTAGAGATTCATCAACCGGTTCTTCAGGCAAGAGTCTTTCGTTCGGCGGCCGCAACAAAGAACAAAAGATGAAGGTCTCAGAGCCCAAGTCAATGATCCATCCATCTCGGTCAACATCTCTCAACCATGGACGACCTGCGTCAGACATGCCATATGCACAACCTGCGGCAAATGCACAGGTTGTGTTCGAGAACGGCCAATATCACGATCGACCACCGCCGAACCAACAAAGTGCGATTCCTTCTGCGAAGAACGGCTTGCAAGAACTGGCCGGTACTAGAGCACAACTGCTTGCTATCCAGCGACGCCTGCTCGAGCACGCAGGCAAGAGCATGGGTTGGAACATAGGCTGGAATGCTATCTTGGCGTCTCTGAATGCGAAAGAAGAGCTAGCTGACGTTAATTTGGAAGACGAGGAGGAAGAGGAGAGTGAGCTGAAGCAGGACGAATCAAACACCGAACCGAACACCGAAACCTCGAAGTCACGCCTTGGCATATCTGCTGGAGCACTAGTCACCGCAATGCTATCGATCAGGCAATTCCGACAGTTTTACGAGGTCGGTAAAGATATCGCAATATTAGACATACTTACTAATCTTTACAGACCTTGAGCGATCTAATTGTCAAGCACTACATGGCTGCAGGTCAGACTAAGTCAGCAGAAAGTGTACTTGGAGACCTAGCTGCACTTAGATTGTATGTTTTCTGGCCCTTGAGGTTTAGCGTGTTGGATGCTTACTTTATCATAGCGAGCTTGGTGATTTTGCGGCAGCTGCTATGTACTTCGGGCGTATGGCGTCGTACTTCGCAGAAAGCAGATGGAACACGGTCGAGACAACCATGCTCAAGATGCACGCACGCTGCTTAAAGAAGCTCAATCGCAAGGACGAATATGTTCGAACAGTACTTGATCTTCTAGCCAAGTCGGCAGCGAGCCGGATGGCGTTCAAGAATTCGGTCAAGCGAGCCAGCACGACCGATGCAGATGATATGCCTCGCGACTGGCTCAACGATGATAAAGTGGATACTACTGATGTGTTTCACGAGCTCATCAGCTATTCGCAGCAGCTACCGTACGATGTTACCGTCCAGATGCCGAAGTATTTTGGCGATATCTCCGTAGAACCCTACGTTCGCCACTACGATGACAAAGATGGCTTCCAGTTACGCCTCCAGTTTAGACACCACCTTGAGGATGAGATTGAGATCGGGGCAGCCAAGATTCGCCTCGTCAGTGCAGTTTCAAATCAAGCCAAGGATATATGGCTTGAAGAGACTGGAGCTATACAGTTGAAGAGAGGGTTGAATCGCATGTGGATCGGCTGCAACGTGAACACGACTGGACCGTACATGGTTGACAGGGTCGTCCTGGAAGCAAAGCGCATCGTCTTTGTACACGAGCCTTTTCAGAAAGCTGAGGCAACCACACCCCTTGGCATCATTACTTCGGTCTCTGCGCATTCTCTCAAAGCGGCGAAGAAAGCCCGGATTCTATGCTTCCCGCGTAGTGAAGCGTTCCAAGCCAGGATATATCTCTCGCATTTCATCCATATCGACAAGCCGCGACACATAGAGGTCGAGTGCTCGACTGGCTGGAATGAGGTGACACGTGCAGAGGTTCGACTCAAGTCTGCCTCAGCAGGTTTACGACTACGGACGGCAAATTCAAGTGTGGCCGCCGGAGAGATCACGATTGATGAGAGCAAGCCGACACCAGGAGTTATCGCTGTTGGTGGCATGCCGGCAAATTCCACAGCGACATTGAAAGTGCCCTACGATATGGAGACGATATTGCAAGACCTTACAGTCAAGATAGACGTTGACTATTTCACTGATGAAGGCCAATTCCAGTACACCTCAACCTTCGTTATTCCCGTCGAGTTGCCTCTGGACGTCAATGTCCATGACCACTTCAAAAGCAAGTCATTGTTCTCGAAGTTTAACATCAAAACCGCCAACCATGTGCCATTGGAGCTCCTGGATGTTACATTAGATGGGTCTGAAGAGTTCGATGTCCACGCGCCTAGGCGTCCGAAGGAGTCCGTACATGTGTTTCCGAAGCAGCCTGTCGCGGTTACGTACAAGGTTACTAAGAAGGCAACGGACGCTGCGAAAAAGCGACAAAGCCGAATCTCTACCACGGGTAGCCTATCCTTGACTGTTGAGTACCGATGCTTGAATGAAGATGTTCTCGACCGAGTGCGAAAGATGTTCACTGATGCTGTCGAAGAAAGCCCAGTGCACCGGCTGGCTCGTTTGCTTACCGATACATTCGCCAGTCGGTTGGAGCAAGACATCCTTCCACACCAGTACGAAAAGATTGCGTTGCTGCAAAGGCTTGACCTAGGTGCATTCGAGGACGTTGGCTGGGTAGACTGTCTGGAAAGTCTGCCGCTCATCATTCGTGATGATACGCAGATCTGGTTGCAGAAGTGGCATGAAGTAAGCAGTGGTTCCTATTATACGATAGTATATGCTAACATCCCTACAGAAGCATAGGACTATTCTGCTCACCAAGGATGATGTGTCAGACACGACGCAACATGCGATCGCTCCGCCATCGCCAAACCCACCCCGTCGGATGGTTATCACAGTTTCGATTCCTCAGACCCACATCCTACACACCGCATCACTGTCTTTCAACTCACCCTCTTCGTCTCTAGACTCCGTTATTGCAACAGTTGGTCAGCCTCTCATGACCACCTTACGTATCTCGCATACGCGCCGCTGGGCCTCACCATCCAGTCTACTCTCCGCTGCAAACCTTACTGAAGTCAGCGAGCCCATAGATTTCGTTTACACCATCGATGCAAACCCTGAAGTATGGCTCGTTGCCGGCCAACGACGCGCGCACTTCACAGCAAAAGAAGATGAAGAGCATGAATGGCCGATCATGCTCATTCCGCTCAAGCCTGGGAATACGCTATTGCCAAATGTGGACATACGGGCGAAGATCAAGCCTATAGAAGAGGAAAAGGGAAAGTCGGGGGTCGTGGAGGCGGATATATTGAATTGCGAGACCGATTATCTGAGTTATGGAGAAAACGTTGTGGTCGTTTCAGATGTCAGAAGTAGTACAGTAGGAATTGGGGATATGGGTGTGGGTAGTCCGAGAAGTGTTGTTTGGCTGGAGAGCAGTGGACAGTCAGTGTGATAGTCAGATGATGCGCTGAACATAGCGTCTCTGAGAACAAGAAGAATACTGACGGATATCTGCGATCTTTTGATCTGTCTTATAACGACTCAACTAGCGAAGACGATGCGCCCGTGCTGGTTTGTATGTTCCTTTGCTGGCAAGTTCCAGCGCCCAATCACGCAAATTATCGACATGATGCATGCAGTATTACCACCAATCAGCCCCTCTGCATGCAAAAGGACAGCAGGAATGTGATTATGCTTGGTATGTGAAAGCTCAAGACCTGAGCAAGCAAAAACAAACAGACAAAAACATACAACAGCGGGGATTCGCCAGTGGTCACCCACCTGACTACTAATCCGCCGTTTACAAGCTTGAGTACCGCTGAGCGAACGGGAAGCGCTATAGTCTTGAAACTATGGTCGTATGTGAAGGAGTTGCTTATCTAACTCTCTTGTATTGTGGATTAAACATGATGGCATCCTGCTTCGAGTGCAAGACGCAGACCCTGCCAGCCGTGCCACGACAAGACACGTATATCATCAGACAAAGGCACAAGAGTACCGGCGATGTTGTGAGCTCCATGTGTAATGAAATCGATTCTTCGAGCTGTTGTATCGTCTTGTTGAGGCACCCGTGGATGCACTTTTACCATAACTCCAGCGCTGAATATGCAATGCAAGTATTCCTCTCCCTTGTATTCCTCTGCCCAGTCATATGTGTGTCTGGTCCTCCTCTTCGCTTCTCCACTTTTAGTCCTTTGGTAGCATATCCTGCTCGCTACCATCCCTAGGCACGTAGTTGATGCCTGCACTCTCCACCAGGCCAATCACGTCGTCTGGGAGAATGCCTTCAACCTGGGTCGCGTAGACACCTGGCTTGTAGCCCTCAAGGCGCTGGTATCTAGCCACCCAACTCCTTGAGGTGTCGGCAACCGTAATGAGGCCTTCAAAGACTTGCGATGTGCAATCGTTGATCTGCTCGGGGTTGCCGGCGAGTTCGAGAATCTCTTCGCAATTCGGGCAGCCTTGGGTGAGGAACTGGTTCTGAGTCCGGACGATGGAGCAGACCATGCAGGCGCGCATGTTGCGCTGCTGGCCAGGCGCGATGTACGCGCCGCCCTGAATCATGTCTTGTGCCATGTCAAAGTAGTTGGGGTTGTCGATGTAGGACGGAAGGCTGGGATGCGAGTTTTGACCTGTTTGGTGGCGGTTCTCGGGGGTGAGACCGAGATGGTGAATGGGACTGGAGACACTGGCGTCTGTAGAAGCGTTGACGCGACCTCGACCAGCAGCGCGCGAAGGCGTAGCAGATTTCTGAAGTCGAGAACGGGGCTGCTGTACGGGCTCTTGATGCCGATGCGGAGTTTGGTGGGCAGATATGGACGTGGGCGACTCGGACGCTTCGACAGAAGGAAGGACGGCGTTGTTGAAGCTGGCAGGAAACAGTGCGTTCGCAAGTGTCCTACTTTGTTCTACGGTTCCGGAAGCTTGGCGAGGCTGTCGGCGCTCTGGCTCTGGACCTGACTCGGCCACTTTAGAGGGGTTTAGTGGCTCGCGTAAGGCTGCGGGATCGACATTCTCCAGCTCATGCGCAAAGTACTGATGCTCATCTGCTCTGCTGTTCTTTCGAGAAACAGTTCTATCGCTCGGAGAACTGGCAGCGGGAGTGACCTCCTCGCCGTCAGAATCGATGGTCATGTACCTATCTTCTCTGTTAGGCGTCTTGACCGTTGCGACACCTTTGCGCGCCATGATGTCTAGTTGCGAGCCGAGGTCGCTAGTTGGTTGAAGCGCTGGCGGAGGCGTTAGTGGCAAGGCGAGGCGAGAGGGCGGGACCGAATTGCTTGATAACTTTTGGCGGGCAGTGCGGGCAACAGTTCACTCTCTTTTCGCCGTACGTCACTTGTTTGTTAGGTCATCGTATTTTGCGCAGGGACGCAGCTTCCCTCTCCCGTCAATCAACAGGTGCAGCAACCCGTCGCGCCTTCTGCAACCACACCCGCGTGCCTCGCATACCCCAGTTTGTCCCGCACCGCATCGATACATCATGGGTGCCCCGACCGACGAAGCGACCAAGCTCAAGGATCAGGGCAACAATGCCTTCAGGAACCAGGAGTGGGACAAGGCTTTGGAGTTCTATACCAAGGCGATAGAAGCATACAACGCAGAGCCCTCTTTCTACACCAACCGCGCACAAGTACCGAGTCTCACCTGCTGCATACACGCCTCTGCTAACCTGCTCCCAGACATACATCAAGCTCGAACAATATGGCTACGCCATACAAGATGCCGACACGGCAATTGAACTGGACCCAAACAATGTCAAGGTACCATTGTCGCAAACCCACTTAGTCGACATGACGGCTTACCACAGCACCAGGCATACTACCGCCGCGCCTCAGCCAACACCGCCATCCTCAAGCACCGCGAAGCACTCCGCGACTGGAAGCTCGTCGTCAAGAAAGCCCCTAACGATGCGAACGCGAAACTGCGCATGGCCGAGTGCGACAAGGTCGTCAAGCGAGACGCCTTCCTCAAGGCCATCGAAGTTGAAGACGCGCCATCGGCAGCGGAGGGACTAGATCTCGAACACATGGCTGTCGACCCCTCATACGATGGCGCGAAGCTGGGAGACAAGATGACGTTGGAGTTCGTCGAAGACATGATTGAGAGGTTCAAGAACGGAAAGAAGCTGGCCAAGAAGTATGTCTACCAGATCATCATCGCCGTAATGGACATTGTCAAGAAAGAACCCACTATGGTCGAGCATGATGTTGCGGATGGTCAGGAGATTACAGTCTGTGGAGACACCCACGGTAGGTTGAGGAAAAGATTCATGGACTCGTTGTATACTGACAAGGCTAGGCCAATTCTTCGACCTCATGGAGATCTTCCGCCTCGCTGGCAAACCCTCCGAAAAGCACGCATTCCTCTTCAACGGCGACTTTGTTGACCGAGGTTCATGGTCTACCGAAATCGCCCTTCTACTATACGCTTACAAATGGCTATACCCCAATACCTTCTTCCTGAATCGCGGCAATCACGAGACGGACGATATGAACAGGATGTACGGTTTCGAGGGTGAATGTAGGGCCAAGTACACCGAGCGCGTGTTCAAATTGTTCTCCGAGTCCTTCTCCGCGCTTCCTTTGGCAACCCTCATTGGCAAGAAGTACTTTGTGCTTCACGGTGGTCTGTTCTCAGATGACAAGATCACACTAGACGACGTAAGAAAGCTTGACCGATTCAAGCAGCGTCAACCGGGACAGTCTGGACTTATGATGGAGATGCTGTGGACCGATCCCCAAACGAATCCAGGCCGTGGACCCAGCAAGCGCGGTGTTGGTCTGCAGTTCGGCCCCGACATCACGAAGCGCTTCTGTGAGAACAACGGCCTTGAAGCCATCATCCGGTCACACGAAGTACGCATGGAAGGTTACGAGGTCGAACACGATGGACGCTGCATCACAGTCTTCTCAGCGCCCAACTACTGCGACAGCACTCACAACAAGGGTGCTTTCATCAAGATTGGCCCCGAGTATAAGCTCAAGTTCACTCAGTTCGATGCCGTTGCGCATCCGAACATTAAGCCAATGGCATATGCATCAAGTGGCATGGCCGGCATGATCTAATAAGTTTAAGGTGAGTTGGTTCAGTCATTGTTCGCAGCGATGCATACTTCGGTGTTCTTCGGCGCATCAGCATACTCGGAATCGGTTGGGGCTGTGTTTGATCTTTCAGGATTGATTGGGACGGAGCGCTGGTATATGAATGTACTATAGAGTCAGGAGAAGGCACGATTCCGAAGTCGATGTACACGAGCAGCATCGAAATCATGATGAGAACAGAAATCTACGAGTAAAATACCATGTCCTACGCGTTTGGCACGCTATCACGGGTCGCGCGTGGTAGTTGCGTTGCCCCTCACACGCGGCCCCACGTGTTGCATCCTAATGCGGTTAACTCTGTTGACAAACATGGATCCTACTCCTTCCATCGCATCACGTCCTACCAACCTGCTAACAAAGCGCCCTTTACGCCTGATCTCGCCGTAGATCCACGACGCCGACACTCGGTCGCATCTTTAACAACCTTTGTATCAGCAATGTGAAAGCCTATCTGTCTGCGCAACCATCATGTCGCCATATCAACAAATCTTCTCCACCAATGCCGTCCTAAGCGTCTGGCGCAATATCCGCCATACCAAAGACAACAACGATCTCCTCCTCGCATTCCAGTACCACCAAGAAGATGCTCGCGGCCAGAAGGGCAAGAAATATAACAAGGGCAGTACCGTGGATAGCACGCAAGAGATCGCAGATGGAAAGGCAGTAGACAATGTCGGAAAGAGCATTGGCTTCGTCGTACCATGGCGGGCTATGCAGGCGCAAAGACGTGAACTGAAGGAAAAGGAAAAAGAGCTCGCGGAGGCGCTCGTTGCCCTTGCCGGAGAGGTCGCATTTACTGGTATATGCCCAACGATTTGTGATTTATGGAGTTTGTCCAGAAAGGCGCATATACTGACTCTCAACGATTAGACCTCTCTTCGACCCTTCAATGTTCTCTCACACAAAACCCGCTTATCCAAATCCGTCACCTTGCTGCTGGCCTCTCACGTCAAATGTCAAAGATCGAAATACAGATGGCTGACAATGCCCCTTTTGCACATGGAAAGAACCTATACACTGGAGGCGAGATAGCGCAAAGATTCCTTCCACCGATACAGACGCTCTTCGAACAACGACCCGTACCACAACGCATGATCTTCGAGCTGCTGATGGAATTAAAAGACTTGATCTACATGGGCATGGCCGGCTGCGAGAAGGAAGTGCTGGAGTGGGAAGTGGACGGAGCCGCGATCGGAGCGCTCGAGGAACTGGACGATGCGATGGTTAGAGCAGTCACACCGTTAACGCCGGCTATCGAGCCTGAGCAACGAAAAGAGCTGGAAACCGGACCCAGGCGCATACTCAGGCGCAAAGCCTCGAGTCTCATATCAAACTCTCTTACAGTCCAACAGCCAGTGTCGTTCCTCCTTGCAGCACCAGATGAACTTCTTTACAGCCTCGAATCGCTCGAAACGACAGCGCTCGCTCTTACCCATCTACCTCTTCCAATACCCGATCTCTGTGCGCACGCTGTCATAACTCTCCGTCGTCTCACGCCACGGCAGACCCTCACAGACTTCTCGCAACAAAAGAAACGAAGAGCCGGTCGTTGCGCTGAATACGCACGTTGTATGAAGTGGGCTGGTACGCAGTGGCGGCAAAATGGAGGCTGCAGAAGAGGCTGCAAGAATGAGGACGAAGACCCTGAAAACCTCCCTAGCTGGCATAGGAGTAGTCGCTGGTTCGACGAGAAGGGCAGTGGGACATTCATGGTTGGCGGAGGAAGAGCGACACCAAAAGACGATGGTTTTGGAGTCGTCAAGATGACGCCTTCGTAGGACAACACGGTGGGATCTTGATATTATTTTTATATGACGTTTTGGATGTACACGTACGATGGGACGGTTTTGTACGATAATCGGCGTAGTGATACCCTCTTCAATTTTTTAGTACATAGTAGGGTAGGGAAACCTTTTTTATGAAAGCAGTAGTTTCAACGAGGTCTTCTGACAGAACACAGGTTGTCGTTTGGTACATGAGCAAGGACTACGCTGGGCAGATACTTTTACGAGCTTTCAATCATCTCATAAGGAGCTCTAAACTTGCCAAATATGATTCACATCTTTCTTCTCTTTAACCGCTGATTTTCCTCTGGCTGATTTTCCTCTGGCTGGTGCAATGCCTTAAGAATATTCGTCACCCGCAGAAGTGTCGCATGCAAAGCTTCAGGGTGCTCGAAGCACAGGAACATTGAAACTCTGATCGCTAGTGCGAAGAAGTACCTTCCGAGCACCCTGTGATGACTCTCACTACTGGCTGCACCGGCCGTAAGAGCTATCCACAAAAGTACGCCTGCCATGTTGTCCCAGCAATTAGACATGTCCGACTTCTCAAGCGCATCTATGAGCTCCTGGAGGAATTTTGACTGAGAAGTAGGCTCTCCCAAAGTGGTCAAAGATAGCCAAGTCGACGAATAGCTTTTGGACGCGGAGATGGATGGGAGGGAAGAGAGTTTAGAGGCTTTTACAACAGATACTGCGGATGGCCTAACCGAAAACGCGAACAGGTCTCCATCCGTGGTCGTCATCTTGTCGTGAGGAAGAAACGGGTCACTGGGAAGCCGCGCAATCGAAGAGACGTCGGCTACGTACACTTTAGCAAGTGCCTCACTTAGTGGAATGCGTCTAGCGAGAGATGTGGCTTGGATGATTGATACCAAACGGACCGCTTCATATCTCCAGTCTTCGCACTTCATCTCTTCGGAAAGCTGTCGTTGAGACACTGGAATATACATGGTGGTGAGTTTCTTGTGAAGAAGATTGAAAGACTCAGAGGCTCGAGCCGCTGATTCCTTCTAGATATCAATTTTAGCGAAGATATAAGGCGAAAGTTGCTAGCAATATCAATGCTCACCTCGTTCATCAGACCATCAATCATACGGCGCATGTCTACTACCAATTGTAGTGTCTGTTCGTTACAATTGCCAGACCTCTGTAAAGTGATGTAATTGTCATGGGGACACCAGACTGGGGATTCTGGTATCGCTAATGTTGATGGGTACATCTTACTCGAGTGGGACATGCAGTACTCAAAGTACTCAGTAATTGGCTGTTTCTCATGAAGAATGGCCGTCTCCAACGAAAGCCATGAGACCATTGATGCCAATATCGAATCGAGTTTTTGCAGGCCCCCACGTTGTCGGATCATAGTTTGCAACCCATCCTGATGGAATTTTAATCCTGCGTCCACACCACCTATGACGTTTCCAGTGATAAGTTGCAGTACTGCCACAATGTTGTGATCAGCAACGCCATTTTCCCTGCTATTAAGGTGCTCAGAGACAAAATGAATCACATCTTGTCGCAATGCTGCAGTCTCAAGGCTCTCTGCTTTGCACTGACGCAGAGCATCGTGGTGTGAAGATGCGATGTAAAGAGTCCCGAGAAAAGTGTGAGGGTAATGAAGGCATGCTGGCATCCAAATGTTCATCATTCTCTCTGTCGCGAAATATTGGTGGACTATGACATATTAGCAGACTTCGTTTATCATAAAATTTATACCTACAGTGGTGTTTGAGTCCTTCTAAAGAGATGCGTTGGGACTGAGATGGAAACATGACCCCAAAAGGATCCACGCTCCTTCCTAGGGAGAATAGTTCTGGCACTGGATATAAGTCGAATGGATAACATCCTCTCATTTCTTCCATTATCGGGACAACGATGGGTCTCCGAGAAAGGGTGGATTGGTGTGCTACTTGTGAACCGGGAACGTTGCTGTCAGGCTGGAGTCGCTTATTGGATACCAAATCCTTCTTTTCACTATCGTTCTTCCGTTTGCTTTTGGGTAACTCGATAGATCGAGCTCTCGTGGCGCCTTGATCATCGCTCATGGTCATTTGGTGGACCTTCTCCAAGTAGGAACCCATGGCCGCTTGGCGAACAGTCACCATCTTAGATGTTGTTTTGAAGTCTTCTGGTTTGTTGCCGACGATCCATCTCAGTTTACCCATATCGTCGTATACTGGAGGCTTGCTCGGACTCAGCGGTTGTAGATCTGGATTACAGTGTTAGCCCCTTCCTACGTTTCCACGTCACTCTTGAAATACTTGTAAAGTCCAGCTCTCATCTGAGTCGAGTATACATACCTTGCCAGTCGGCAAGAGCAGATGTCGAAGCTCTCGAAGACTCCGCGTATACAGTTGTGGGTGGTGTAGAGTACAGCGAGGTGGTGCTATTAGGAGAATAGAGAATCGGTGTCGGAAACTTTTTCGTTGAACTAACACTGCAATCGGATTCGGGCTGAACAAACTCGATATCAGACTGATCCCTGCTGTGTCCAAACGGTCTCTCAAAACCCGAAAGACTTCTTGTTACTGCCTGTCTTTCCAAAGAAGACCTCTCATGCTGAACGGAGTCCGCACACGCTATGTTATCTATTATCAGTCAGTACAGCACACTGTAGATGTATGATAGATGCGTTGATGAGAGATACGAACCCTGCAACTCCTTTCTGTGACAAGAATCGAGAGAAGCTTCTATGCTCCTACCCCAACGAGTTCCCGATTTCTGAAAGACGTAGGTTGCTGGTGCGATATATACAACTTCTTTTAGAGCGGAGCTCACAACAACATGTCCATAAGGCTGACTGGTCACCGTGTCTAAGATTTCAACTCCACAATCACCCCACTCAAGAGCAGAGGCTAACGTAGCTTGGTAAACTTGTTGGAAACTGGTACTGTTTGGAAGTCGCATGTATGTTGCTGTATGAGACAACTGTCCATGGATAAGGCCTCGAGATGTATGCGCAACAACCTCTATGTTTTCCGTGCTGGAAATCAACTTCCCTTGAATACTTTCGCTCTGTACATCTGTTTTAAGTTGAGAGATGGCAGAATAGACTCCAATGTGACAGACGTCGATCACGGCCCAATCGAGGTCCACAGAATACGTTGTCAGATGACCTAAAAGCACCAAATCTGCCACGTCTGGAAAATCTTGATCGCTTTGGACCGATGGTACAGGTGACGTCGTCGAGGTAGACTTGCAAGTTGGCGATTCCGATTGGTCGTCAGAGCCTTCCTCTAATGAGCTGACACTCGCGCGCGATGTCGCATCCATACATCTGTCATCATCTTCGTCTTCAGTTCCACTTCCATAGTCAAATTCGCTGTCGCTGGCAGTAGACACGGCTGGTGGTGAAGATACGTCGCCGAAGAACACGTGTGAAACGGACAGATAGACACATCTTTCTCCCTCGAAGACAGCGTTAGCTGTAGCTTTCCGTAGGATATTACCGACCTGCTTGACGAATATTGGCATCGCGATGGCTTTGATAGGAGCTGACGGGTCGAAGTAGACATCAGATATCATGCCAGATCCTGCCGATTGCCGAATGTCTTCGGTCCCCGCTGCAGGCTGTATCAGCCTCCCTACCCCCGGTAGTTTGGCGAGGTGTCCAGTTCGGAATCCGGCGAGCTTTCCCAAAAGACCACCTTCGTCGATAGTCTTCTTGGCCCTTTTACGCGGCTCCTTCTCCTCGCAAAAGAACATGATTGTAGGAATTGCTGAATCCACTGATCGCCCTATCATATACAGATGAAATAGCACGATACTCGAGTAACGCTCCGTTAATACTGCGTTGAGTTGTTCCACAATTTCAGATTCGACAAGGCTGAACTGCTGCCTGGCCGGTCCCGCAGCATGCCACCAGTATCTATCATGGAAGATCCCAATTTCGGTTCCAATGCAGGCACAAACGTTTGGATAAGGTTGTTGTGCGGACTTCCAGAATCTGGCTCGGCTGAGATACCGTTCGCCCATGTTAACCTCGCATCCCGATCAGGACGAAAGAACGGCGTTGGGCATGCAGCTCAATACAAATGGAGAGGAGACAAAAATAAGAGTAGTTCGGACATACACCGTAGGCGTAGAATCAATCGAAAGATGCAGAATGAGGGCCTATGTTAGTTCAAGCAACGGGGCTCAGCCGTGCGGAGGCGTCGAGGGGCGCAGCCATTGGAGGTCGCGTGAGCCACACCGGTCAAAGCTGCAACCCCACGAAGAAGGCGTCGCAGAGCCTAAAGAACTGCTAACCTATAAATGAGCCTCTTGTGTACACACACGCAGGTCTGTGATTGAGACCGAGACAACCTGTTTATCCAAAATGTCAACACTCATCGGCCCACTTGACGAAGTTCTCCAGGACACCGTTACACCACAGGCTAGGGCGGAAATCATACAGCATCTATGGCGAGACAGAAGAGGGCTACCGTTGAAAAGATTCCATTTCGCATGGGACGCCTATTTTGCATACTATACTCGGGAATGCAACGCAGCCCTCACTGATGAAGGCGCCCATCTCTGCGCTAGATCGCATCGAAGTCTTTTGCGGCTTGCGCACTTGCTAGAAGACGCGGCTGACGAAGAAGAAATCAGAGAAAGGCTCCGTCAAACACTCACGACGCAAAGATCAACGTCAGACGAGAAGAAGATGTTGGACGGTTCTTTGAAGCTAGCGACTCGCATATTCACGATGATCAGCACTGGACCGCTTTCCTCCGAGATATCCGCGAAACATTCCTTACCCTGGAGCCAAGGCTGTTCGTTTGCAGATGCCGTACATGAATATTTCAATCAACCCCTAGATATTGAACTGGACTCGAAGGACGATGTCGTCGGTTCGGATCTTACGTGTTATAATATCGAGCGAATGTCAGGCATCGAGGTGATACTGACCGATAATTTGCTCGATCATTTGCGTCTTGTCGAACGAGACAAAAAGCTGTGTGTGTTCCATCATGCATCGTTCTTGAGAAAGATGATAGCCACGGAAAGGTGTGAACACATTGTTAGACCAGCAGAGAGCAGTGCTTACTATAGAGTCTCATAGTCCGATTTTTCCAGACGGCCTGATCGAAGAAACGTTGGACACGCTCGCCCTGCTATTTCCAGAGTCAGATCGCAAAACGAGACGATGGTTGTCAGAGAAGCGGCGAGCAAACTCAACGCAGACGGCGGTAGACAGCACGTTAGCACAATGTGGCCATTTTCGGCCTGGACATCCATCCAGACGTCTTGGGCGATTCCAGTTCTGGCGAGATCGATTGGTTCTGCTAGGGGAGGCTGTCGAGGAAGCCACGCCAACCTCCAAGGCATTGCTAAAAGCGCTGAAAGATAGTAAGAGAGGCGACCACTGGCTCAATTCATGGATAGCAATAGTGGCGATAGGCCTTACCCTCTTCTTCGGGTTGGTCCAAAGTGTTGAGGGTGCCGTGCAGGTATACAAAGCGTACCACCCAGAAGCAGACTCGGCATAGCGCCAAGATTCCTGGACTAAAAAGGAAGGCTGAATACATGTACCTAGGTATTCTGGGTGGCGCAACTCGGCAAGCTGGAGAAAACTAGAAGCGGCAAGATCTGCTGGAGAAATTCTAGTGAGCCCGCGCAGTGGGACTTGTACATTAGCGCTTCAACACAGGGTCCAAAATTCTGGGTCCCGTCCCAGTTTGGAGGGAGCAGCTACAGTACGCGAACTCCACTCCATCTCGCTGCAGTTGCCCCACAGAGGCGAATTTGTGTAATATTTGCGAAGACAGTGGGTACGAGCATGGAATTTGGTCTTGAAATTTGATCCTGTACGAGAGGTAAGAGCGCTGCAGGCCTCAGTAGATAACGCATGCTACACCAACAAAGCTCATGTTGAGGAAGCGTAGCGTGAAGATAAGGCTGCAGATGTAGCGACGCATCTGGGCACGGTGGCACCGACAATGATACGATGATCATAGTGACGTCATCGATCTCCGCGGTTATGCCTACGTTGTGAGGGTTTAGCAAGGCGCCCACATATCGACCGGAAGATGTTGCTCGCTCAATTGCTGCAGTATGTTAGACGCATGGGAAAAAATAATTAATTCGCGGATGGTCAATTATTGCAGTGCATCTGGAAATATCATGAACGATCAAATGCTATGATTAAAATGCTATATAAAAAACGCTTGCTATAACACTTTCTTTTTGAGGTCAACGCCAATGCTGCAAATGTCCCAACATCTATCATCTATATGCTTCGCATAAACCAATCCAAAAGACACAAAGTCTAGTATGGCGACGCAACGCTTGTCGCCCTGGGGTATCTCTTTTCTCCTAACGCACACTTAAGCGTACTTCTCAATCATGGCCAAAGCACCTTCGCGCTCCAAGCCCTCCAGTGCAGCCTTGAGCTCAGAAACGAAACGCTCGTCTTCACGGAGATCGTTACCGAATAGAGTCTTGATCTCAAGCTGAGCCAAGGGGCCCTCTGCGGCCTTGGCCTGGAGCTCCTCGACCATGGGGTCGTCAACCTTGAAGGCCTTGCCAGCGTCGTCGATACCGCTGTTGTAGCGGAACCAAGCAGCAGCCACAAGGGTGAGGCGGCGAAGAGGGCCCTTGGCGACAATCTGCTCAGCGATGCTAGGCATGATGAACTGAGGAATCTTGCCACTGCCGCCGAGGCAGATACGGGGAAGCTCGTCCTTGAGGGTAGGGTTGGAGAATCGGCCCAAGAGGGTGTTGCAGTAGTCGTCGACGCTGACACCAGGAATCTGGGGGAGAAGGGGCTTGACTTCTTGGTGCATCATGTTGATGACGAATTGGCGGTAGACAGGGTGTCCGATAACTTCGTGGATGTAGGTGAATCCTGCGAGCTGGCCGGCGTATCCCATGGCGGAGTGGCTGCCGTTAAGGAGACGTAGCTTGATCATCTCGTACTCCTCAACCTTGTGCACATCGGGGACGATCTGGACACCGGCCTTCTCGAAGGGAGGGCGGCCGTCAACAAACTTGTCCTCGAGAACCCACTGGTGGAAGGGCTCAGTGACAACGGGCCATGCGTCCTCAACACCAAAGTTCTCGGCGAGGCTGACCTTGTCCTCGTCGTTGGTACGGGGGGTGATGCGGTCAACCATGGAGTTGGGGAAAGCACCGTTGTTGGCAATCCAGTCGGCAATCTCGGGGTTCTGGTGACGAGCAAATGAGACCAACATGTTCCGGCTAATGTCACCGTTCTTCTGCATGTTGTCGCAAGACAGAACAGTGAATGGTCGTAGACCGGCGGCATGGCGCCTTTCCATAGCGGCGTAGAGGTAGCCGAAGACGGTTCGTGGCGGCTGCTCACCAGCCAAATCGGCGGCGACATCAGGGTGGTCAGTCTGGAGCTGGTGGGTGTTCTCGTTCATGTAGTAACCGCTCTCGGTGACAGTCATAGAAACAATGTGAGTGTCGGGGTGAGCCATCTTGGCGATGACGGCCTCGCTGCTGTCAGGAGCAAAAAGGTAGTCGGTGATACTACCGCAAACACGTGCGGTGGTACCCTCAGCAGCACGCTCAATGATGGTGTAGAGGTTGTCTTGGGGCTTCAGAGCATCGCGCATGGGAGCAGCAAATGGCTGAAGGTCAACACCGCAGATAGACCAGTCCTGGACGTTGAATTGCTCGAGAAGAGTGTCAACGTAGGCTGCGAGATGGGCCCTGTGGAAACCACCAACACCAACGTGGACGATGCCTTGCTTGACACCCTCACGCTGGTAGGTGGGGACGGTGACATTCTGGAGTTGCGAGAGATTCTTGCTGTTGAGCTTTAGGGGAGCTGCTGATGTCTGGCGCTGCGATGTGGAAGCGGTTCCAGCGGTGAACTTCTCCTCCTTACGTTGGGAGAATGCTCTGGGAGGGGCGTTGTAGACGTTGTTGCTCTCCTGTGTCCGTCGGACGGCCTCGGAGCTCTGGAACCTGACGGCAGCAGGGCGGGAGGGTCTGGTGGATTGGAAAACGGCGCGAGCGCGGGCAGCGCGCAGCAAGTTCCTGGGTACTTGGGGAGGCATGGTGAAGAATGTAAGATTGGAATGGGAATACAGGAATACGTGGATGAGAGAAGGCAGAGGACGTGGTGTTCAAGTATTTATAAAGCAGCAGCTCAATCCTTTTTGTGGGCACATGCGTAGAACCTTGAGCATGGTGCCAAAAAAAGTCGGATTAGGGCCCCTATTTTTTCGGAGGGTCTAGACATGGTGGATTATGAGTCGGGATTCGCAAGCTGATAGCCTGTGCTTTGGGAAACGTGGGTTGGCAAAAGGAGGCTGCGGCTTGCATTGTGTTGTGTACGTCGCGGGCTGGTGGTGCGTGCCAAAATGCCCAGATTGAGCCGCAACATCTGGGCGACTTCACGACACCTCGAATAGATTCAAACTTTTGGCCCTGACGCGTCTCTACACAAGACCCAGTTTTTAGACCGGACAGGGGTTTCAGACTTTGCGCTCCCGCTTCCGCTCGCAGCTTGGAGGAGCCACAATTGCGCCGTAGTGTCTGTTGTAAGGCGATTTTGTGCGATGTGCACAACTATTGCGTGCTAGGTGAAGGATGTTCAAGGGACTACTGAAAACGCTGTGGCTTGCGTCCACCAGAACCTCACCGCCGCCGGCTTTGCGTGGGGGTGCGGACCGCCAGGAACACCGAAGCTTGCAAGCATCTCGGCTGCATCGCCGACGCGAGGCTTGCATCGACCAGACCGCGTTTTCATC